AAAATCATTTTTTTTTAAATAATAATAATAATAATTTTTCTATACACTAAATAATTATTTTTATTTGTTACAAAAATTATTGATAAAATCATAACAAATATTAATGGATTTGATTGAAATTGAAGAATATCAATTCGAATATATTTTAGTTTCTTGATAATAAATATAAAAAATAATTAAAAATTGTTTGGTCAAATATAAGATTTACTATTAACTTTAATACATTTTATTTTACAGACTTTTCTATTGATTTATAATACCAAAAATAGATTATTCTGTTTAAAAAAATCAAAGTGACCTTTGTAATTTTTGAATTAAATTTATCCTAAATTTATAAAAAGATATTTTATGATATATGCTTCTTCCTCCTCCAAAAATCCTTTAAATCCTTCAAATTACATATTTTATAATTTTCATAACATTTAACAGTTATTCAAGATGATCAAAATTTAATTGAGAAATTTTCGATATACATGTGAAAATTAAGATAGATAATTTAATATAATAANTATTATCTCTATTGATTAATTAAAAGAATGTTTCATAGAATGATGAATAGTTTTAACTAAAATAATGGTAATTTCAATAAATATAATTATTTGATTTCTGTATATTGATATTTGATATTTCTCTATATATAGTTATAAAAAAGATTATCTTAATGTTTAAGAAATTTAAGTGGCTATTATATTACTCTAGTTGTTGTGATAATAGATAGTAGAGATATATTACTACTCTTTACTTTTCCTTAAATCAACATAATTATTTCAAATACAGCGTTATATTTTTTTTACTTTTTATTATAAGTGAAGATTCTTTAATCCAACAAATCTAATTGTGTTTGCAACATTAATAAATACACCATTTTTTAATTATACCAATGAAGATGGAATATTTAAAATTTTATAAACTGACAATATAAATTAGATTTTAATACTAAAAAATATTTAAAAAAGATTTTATAAGTAAATTTCTTGCTAAAAATGTAATAAAAATAAATAAATAACTGTTAACGTCGAAAATGGTGAATGACTTTGAATATTGCACAAATGTCTAAACTGATGCTACTGCTCGAAGCACCATCTACTGTAGAACTATATATTCGTTTAGATTAGCTAGTTAGATTAGATGAGTTTTGAGTGAACGAATGGTGGTACTTCAACTCTTTGCGACTAACTGTAATGATTCTAATTATATTTTAATATATACTGTGTTGTCGTCGAATTTTATCTTTTCAGTTTTCTATTTTGATTTTAATTCAATTACAAGACTGTCGCGAGCCTTGGTTTTTCCTCTAATTCTTGCTTTTCGAGAAAAATGCATAGTGAGAGAAAGTTGGATGAACCAATGATCGTATTGGAGGACGGTCTCGAAAGATGGACTTTCTCGAAGTCGCGTCCTAGCGTGTACAGATCAAGACTTTTGCGTTCGCTCCCATGATAGTCCATCGCATGACAAATGTGGCTTGTGAAATGGCCTTTTGTGGTATCTTTATTTAAATTAAAGATCTGAAAAACATTAGGAAAACCAGCCCTCTCATAAATTATTGTTAGGCCATTAATGGTATTCGAATTGTTAAAAATAAAAGTCAGGTTACGCGACCGCTTTACAAACTCAATCCTTAACAGTAACACTGTAAACTAATTCGTTTTTTTAAAAAGAAAAATATTGCATATCAACCAAAAGAAAAAAAAACATACAGAATGATAATAAAAAAATCTACATTATTTTATTTTAATATTTCAGAAAAAGAAATATAAGAAAAATTAAAGTTTTAAAAATAACTTAAAAAATAAAAATTTTAAATATTTAAATTAGAAGTAACATAAACTAGAAAACCATAACTAGAAAATAAAGAAATTTTTATCCTTATTTTTTATTGATTAAAAATCTAATCATAAAAATATATGAAATCGCGTATCTATTATATTTATAGTAATGTCAAAGATATGATGATTTAATCATATAAAAATATATTGTACAAAATTCTATTGTTAAATATGTTAAATACAGAGAAATATTTTTTCAAGGAATGCTCAAAGTCATTTATCTATTAAGTACTTTATATAAATAAGATTAGATAGATTATTAGATAAGATTAGATAGATATTAAGATAGATTAAGTATTTTATATAATGAAGCTTATCCAAATTATAAAAATTGCAACAATTATAAAAAAATACAAAAAATTAGAAACATGCCAATCAATAAAAGACATATATATTGAAATCATATAGAAAAAAGAAAAACATAAGTTACGCTAATGTAACGAAATATAATAGTAAAAAAGTACAGATATTATTGAATATTAAATATTATTGAAAAAGATAATATAGTATTTAGATCTCTTAAATCCTAATTAATTAAATTTGAAGTTTTTTTAACCCTTAAAAATAAGATTGGATATCTGTTTTTTTCAATTTATTGACAAAATCAATAAATTCTATATGATAATTTCTTTTAAATTTTGAAAGACAAATTTGTTGAGGGAATTACACGAAGCATCTCGAGTTTGAGACTCGCCAATTCTAAGGACAAAAAATTCTATAAAATTTTGCAATGGAAAGAATATAATAATGTAAATACTGATATCTCAATATCTCATTAGCTTTCCGACATGTCAAATTTTAGATATTTTTTGTTACAAAAATATATCAGAAAATTAAATTGTAATCTCTTATTTACATTTTAAGATTATATTAACCATAAATTCGATAATATAATCTTTCTCTAATAGAAAAAATAAGAAAAATTTCATTTCATGATCATAAAATTATTAGATGACTAGATAAAATTAAAAAAATATATAAATAAATATATAAATCTAAAATTTCAACTTAAAAATACAAATGACGAAAAAGGAATAACTCTGATACAAACTATTCAATAAATAAAACTAAATAATATTTAAACTGTCTCAAACAAATAAAAATTAAATTTGTAAAAAAAAAGTAGTAGGTATTTAAGGATTTATCCCTAATACACAAATTTAATAAATTAAATAAAGGATTAAAAAAAATTTTATATGAAGATAAAAATGAAAATATAGAAACGAAACTATAAAAAATATCTTTTTAGAAAGGATAACATATGAACTAGAAATAATAAGAATATCATAGAAATATTTAATACATTTCAATACAATACATCTTTCTTGTTAAGACATTGAATAGGAATATAGAGTGATGTTGTATAAGGATAGTTTTTAAGAGAAGAATTTAGAAGACTCTTGAAATTATATATTTTTTAAGAATACTTCGGCATTCATATTGAATGTATGAACATGAGGCTTGAGACATAGTATATTTTCTATGTCAATCTCAATGAAATATTCAGTGCGTCATATAGATCAATGCTACTTTTATTACTTAAAATTTCTTGAAAAACTAATTATAAAATGTATTAAAATTTTTGTTGTATAAAAAATAAAATTCTTCAACATTAATTTGGATTGTATGAGAAGCATTTAATAATAAAGCATTGAAAAAGTACATAGACTTGAAAATGAAATTGAAAATTATCATAAACAACAAAAATTTCTGTAACACAAAGTACTTTATAGATATTAAAATATAATTATACAATTAAATTATATTTTCTATATATTTTTTATTTTCTATTACAATCTAAAAAAAAAATCGAAAAGTTTTTTTTTATATTTTTTTTTTCACAACGTTTTCTAATAGCTTTTCAAGTTTCTATTCTAATGATTGTTTTGCAAGTTGTGCTCTTGGATCAATTCTGTATTAGATTTTCCTATGTAGTCAAATAGTAACAGATTTTCCTATGTAGTCAAATAGTAACAGATTTTCCTATGTAGTCAAATAATATATTTACAACTATTTATATGAATAAGTTTTGCATAAGCATTCAAAAATCTTATAGAAATCCATGAAATCAAAGCATTGGCAAATGAAAAATATAACAAGAATGAAAATCAAAATAATGAAGTATTAATAATAAAGTATCATATTAGATATTTAAGTATATATTTAAATAAAAAAATTTATCTGGAAAAAATATTTATAACATAAATTTGGAAAATAAAATTAAATAAAATGAATTATCTTAAATCGCAGTTTTTATTAGAGAATAAATTTCTTTTATATAAAGTCGCATTTATCTCTATATATATATATTCTATATATAGAACTTAACTATGCAAAAGTTCTAATAAATTCAAAATAGATATCATTCAATGATTCCGAAATAAAACTTTTAGCAGAGATAATAGCATCTTCTTCATATACGAGAAATAGAAATCTTTTTAATGACTTAAATATAGAGTTAGAATGTATCAATATACAAAAAAATATGTATATAAACTTAAATTAGTAAATCTTCCAAATATATTGAAAAGCTTATTGATAATTTAATAGAAATAAGACAGTTGAAAAGATTAAACTTCCAAAATTCTGCATACAATAAAATCTAATTTTAAACATTGAACTGTGAACAATTATATTCAATAAATAAATTGTATATATATATATTTGTTAAATAAATCTAGTATCAAAATATAATGCGGATTTAAAAAAATGAGTAGAAAAAAAATTATATTGTTTCAATTATGATAGTCTAATAAATTTTTTTGACTTTATAATTAAAAACCTTTATAAAGTGTATCTATTTTTTTTTCATAAATAATTATAGTTTAGAAAAATTCACATATTTTATACTTTATTCATTGTCTTGATTATTTTATATATTTATTTATATATATTAACAATACTTCTTGTTGCCTGAAATAGAAATATTAAAAGATTAGTTTAACTTTCCATTCGAAGATTTTTATCGTAATATCTGTATTTTGTGACAATAGAAAACCATTATAAAAACTATCAGTCTTACCAGAGATGCGTATTATTACGAAATAAATAAATAAATCCATACATTAATAAGTATTCTCTTTAATTATAAATTTTATAAATATCATATACAATATACAATATCATATACAATATGTAAGTTATTATAGACAAAGTAATTTTAATGTATGCATTATTATTATATGCAATGTTTTCCGTTTTATGTGAAAAAATATTTCTTTTATCTCTATTATTATACTTCGAAGAAAATTTTAATTCTGTGCATGATGCAATGATTTCTCTTTGCACCTGTTTCATACCATATGTTATTGTAATATATAATGCAATCGATAATTATTGCCATCTGGTTGACCAGTAGTAGGAAAAATACAAATTACTAACCAGCATGTTATTAGTTGATACACTGAGTATGCTTTATTAAATATTCTATACTTAAATAATACCCTTTATGTATCGCATCATTGCATCAGTTAAATTCTATTTCATTCAATTCTTAAGACAAACAGTTTCTAGAAACCATGTTGAAACAAGTAACTCCAGAAAAGAGTATTTATATTATTTGGCTTAGCGTGGCTTTGTCTTTTTGTTGGCCACTTCCTGCCACTAGTACCAGAAAACAAATTATGTGCATAAAAATTTTACAAATTAGTGCCGTTATTAGCGCATTTATGGTACTTTTACCTTTAATTTATACGATTCACTTGAATGTGCATAATCTAATCAATCTTTTCCAATGTATTTGCTTATTGATATGTGCATTTAAACATATTATACAAACTGTCATATGTTTCATAAAATATAACGCTTTACAAGTAAGTTTTTTTTCACTTATTTTTAATGTTTGATAAAAAGATATATATTTTACTTATAAATTATAGCGTATAGTCGAAGAAATGATGACATGTGTTAAAGAAGAACAACTATATGATATTTTGTGCATGTATATCAAAAAATGTAATATTTTCTATGGAGGAACTATTGTATTAATATATGGAACCGCAACTGTTTTTGTATTAGGACCTATATTTTTGCCAATTTCTTTTCCATGGGGAACAGAATATCCATTTCAAGTTAATTATACCACAATAAATGTCATTATATACGCACATCAATTTTTTTTTGCTTATCAATGTGCTGCGCATACATGCTTAAGCTTATTTGGAGCACTTCTTCTTTGGTTTGCAACTGCAAGATTTGAATGTTTAATTAAGGAATTACAAAAAATTACAAGTATTGATATGCTAATCATTTGTCTTAAAAAATTATTATTTTTAAGAAGGTGAGTTTTTTGTGTCATTTAAATTATTCATTTTATTATTGTTTATTTTAAATGGTTTTTAGATACGCAGAAGAAGTTGTGAGTTGTATTCGTTTTTTGGTATTTTATGCTATAGCAATAAGTACGTTTACTCTGACTTTATCTGGTATTATAATGATCATAGTAAGTGAAATTTATATCGCTATGTCTATAATATAATGAATTAATATTGTGATTTATAAACAGAATTGCCCATTATTTGTGAAAATAGAATTCATAACTATATCTATATCTCTTCTTGTGCAAATTTATATTTATGCGTGGCCAGCTGATCATATGCAAGATATGGTAAGTCACATTTACATTTTAAATAATAAAAATAAATAATCATAAAAAATTTTTATAATTATGACTATTTATGATTATTTATTATTAATCAAGAAAAATCATACAATAATTCACTAAATTATTTTAAAAAATAAAATTTATATCATTAAATTAACTTTCTTTATGAATTTTTTATTAGAAAAACAAGCGATGAAAAATATGAAAGTAAAGATAGTGCTTTTTTTTTCTAAAAAATTATTTAATTATATGAAATTTAATAATTCTTGTTTTTAATTTTGATTAAAGAAAAAAATATATCAATAATTTCAAGATATATCAGAAAATTATATTGTAGTTGGATATTTATCTTGTATATATATATATATATATATCTGTGTGTGTGTGTGTGTGTGTGTGTGTGTGTGTGTTTTATTTCTTTAATGAATTTTATGAATTCATATGTATTTAAATGTTATAATGAAATGAATTTATAAAATTGTATTTTGAAATCAATGTAATATATGAATAATGATATATAATATTAAATATATAGTAATTTAATATATAATATTAAATATTAAATATATAGTAATTTAATATATAATATTAAATATATAGTAATATAT